TTTCCCTCCTCCTAGCGTTCAAAACACTCTTCTTAACCGGTCGCAATGAAGTCACTGCCACCTGGCCTCTTCAGGCATAGTCGATGGATCTTTTATTATTAGCATGGACCTTGGCATTGGAAAACGCCACGCTGGATCCTCCGGCAGAAAGTGGCAGGAGGGAGTGTAGTGTAGTCTCTTCGGTACTCACAGAGATTAGGTTATGGTTTCAGTCTGTACTCACATCGAGGGAGGACATTTAGTGTAGTCAGTAGTCGGCTTTAGGGTAGTGTTTTTCCAATCAATAAAACGGCAACAGATCAAAGGGATTGAGTGAGTTCCAGCAGCAGCAGCACAGGGTTGGATGTTTCGCCTTCGGACAGACGCACCAGCTTAGCTTCGGTATGCTTAGCTTCGGTATGGTGGTTCTGTGTGTTCGTACTTTTGCGAACTTGGCACTTAGGGTGGGACCTCTACATAGTCTAGGGCGGGAACCCATGTCAAATTGTCGTTGGTGGAGTTCTGACACCATTTCTTACTACCTCTTCCGTAGCAGTATGTATCCTACTAGACTTCGGGGAGGGAGAGAGAGAGATTGTGTGTGTTCCCCCACACGCGCGCGAGCACACACACAACTTGTGTTAGTATGCTAATTATGAGTATTAATAGGTACTGTAATAAATAACTGGCCACTGCTCCTACTCAATCACCAGCTGCAAGAGTGAAAGATACAAACTTTGCTGCTCCTATCTGAATCTCTCTCTCTCTCTCTCTACCCGCCGCTGAGCTGAGTGCTGCCTGGGCTGGGGAATACTATGCAGTTGTAATAGCAGTTGTTTCCTTCACTGCAACTGCTAAGCCTAGTTCCCGATTAGTAACAGCAGCAGTAAAAAGGGGCCTCCCTGGATGCTTGTTTCTTGTTTCTGTCCTCTGATTATTTGGGATCCTTTTTTAAACTCTCGGGGACCAACTACCAGTATGTGCCTCTGTTTCTCATCAGTTTCTGGGTTTTTAGTTAACTATGGCTGTGTGGTCTACTTTAGTATTTTCTTTCATTTCTGCTTCCGGTTGTAGGAAGGAAACGTGCTTTTCTTTTTTCAGCAAAATCTGGGACTGGCATTTCCCACCCATTCTCTCCCGTAAATTTGTAGCGGCCATAAAATAATTTCAAAAACTATTTTCTTTTTCATTTCTCTTCTTTTCACTCTTTGTTTCTCTAGGTGGGACTTCGCGGAATAAAACAAAGGGCGAGATTTTCCCATCGAATGTATGATGAAATGATTCTGTATTTCCTTCATTCACAAGATTTTCTACTCAACCTTTGTTAAGCTTGCAACTTGGATTCTTTTTTTGAGTTCTCTGCCATAAAGTTCCGGCCTTTGGAGCAATCTTGCTACTCATTGGCCCTCCCTCTTCTTTCTTTTATTCTTGCCCCCCAAAAAAATAAATAAATAAAAAAGCCTGCTTCTTTGTGAGCCCTTGATTCTGAAACTGTGCTCCTGCTACAGAACCAAAACTCTTCGCATTAGCTGCTGGCCTCCTTTTTGAGCTTCTTTAGTTCTTTGCAAAATGCTTCAATTCTGCGTCGTATTTTAGAGTTTACCATTACAAACCTCTGGATTTTTGAGCTGGTTAAAAAGTACTGGTTTCAACTGCTTTTTTACTTCAGGAGAGGAGAGATCATAGCCTTCTCCATTAGCACAGACATGTGGGTTTGCTTGATTCCTCACCTTCTCAACCAGTAATCCGGGTGTCATCCAGACTTCTTCTTTCTATGGAGCAGGCGAGGTGTACTTATCCTCAAAAAAGCAGTTTTGCCATACAAATTCTATTCTTGCTCATTTGCAGCGTACTCTTTAGCTGTGGCCGATGCCAAGAAAAAACGATTAAGGACAGCTCATCTGAACCTCCATGGCCGTCTAGATCACCAGCCTTCAAGATCAGGCTCCAGAGAATCATCTTGAGTGTTTTTCTTGGAATCATTACAGGATTGATATTTTCCCTTCTCTTTGCTCTGCTAATAAGATGGTTTGTCAGGTATGTCAATAGGACCCCAATTCTCAACGGCCCTGTTGTTTTCTCCCCCAAAATTCCTCCCAAGACTCTTCAGTTAGCTCTTGCTAACGAGACCCAATTGCTTGGTTCAAGCCCGAATGGAAACTACTACAAGGCTATCCTTGACAATGGCCTAACTATAGCCGTCAAGAGGCTGGAGCCTTTTGAGCCTGGCTCCCCTGAGACTCATAGTAAGTCTGTAAAGAGAAGGATACAGCAGGAACTTGAAGTGCTTGCTTGCTTAAGGCACAGGAACTTGATGAGTTTAAGGGCTTACATTCGCGAGTTTGATAGGTTCTGTCTGGTCTATGATTATGTGCCCTCTGGGAGCCTTGAAGATGCAATGAGTAAAGTGAGGCAGAACCAGATGCAACTTAGCTGGGAAGCCCGGCTCAGAATAGCAATTGGCATTGTCAAGGGACTCCAGTATCTTCATTTTTCTTGTAATCCTACAATCTTGCATTGCAATTTGAAGCCCACAAACGTGATGTTGGATGCAGAATCTGAGCCTAGGCTGGCAGATTGTGGTTTGGCAAAGATCATTCCCAGTTTCAACAGAATGGCCTCAGGTTACAGTGCTCCGGAGTCTTTCCAGAACTGCAGGTATTGCATTTTAAAGGTGCATGTGTGAAACTTTAAGCTTTTGCTGTTTGAATGAAGCCTTTTAAAATGAATGCAATTGTTTGTTCCGTTGTCACTTCAGAATTAGCTGCTGCATTTTAAAAGGTGGTGAGGTTGATGGCATGTGGAGGTCTATAACAATGCTACTTGCTATTAACTGAATGAGAAATGTTTCTCGTCTATTAACTGCAGGGGTTCCCTTCACCTTTGAATATGTTGATCATGGCTGCTACTAATGTGTCTCTCTGAGAATGTACCTGTTTAAAATGCCTTTGTTGGACTGCTTAGTCGAGGGTTAAACTAGCTTATAGCTGTTGTCGTGTAAACACAATTCCGTTTGCTGTTTTTACTCGTCCTTCAGAATATTGAGGTTTTATAATAAATGTTTCAGTAATGGTCTGGAAAAAGTGCCCTTGATTGCAGAGTCTTTGGTTTTAAGTTGAGGAGTATTTGTGGGTAGAGACGTGGTATTTTACTACTATCTTATTACACAAAATGAAGATCTTTCTGAATATTTTCTCAACAAAGAGAGTTAATCCCAAACCAAGTCACTTTGAGACTTTATGCTACTTCTTCCCACAGGAATCCAAAAACAAAACAAGAAAAGTTTGGTCAATACTTCCTATGAACATTTTCAAGTTTGATATATTCTGTGCATGCTTTAGAATGAAGATATTAATGGTTTTAAGTGTTGGGTAGGTATACTGATAAGAGTGACGTCTTCAGTTTTGGAGTCATTTTGGCTGTTTTATTGACTGGGAGAAACCCAGTGGATCCTTTCTTTGGTGAAGGTTCAAATGGAGGAAGTTTAGGACAGTGGCTTCGACGTCTGCAGCAAGCAGGAGAAGCTCGAGAAGCATTGGATAAAAGTATTCTTGGGGAAGAGGTTGAGGAAGATGAAATGCTGATGGCAGTTAGAATTGCAGTTGTATGCCTTTCTGACTTGCCTGCAGACCGGCCCTCGAGTGACGAGCTTGTCTCAATGCTCACCCAACTTAATAGTTTCTGAAGAATGCAACAAAACTCGCACTTGATGTTCTTAACTTTTAGGAAAAGTGTCTATTTTGCACCCCAAGGCAAGGAGCTTTTGGTTGTTTCAACAGCTAACTATGTGCAGCTGTCCAATTTCCTGCTAGGGTTTATGCCGTAGGAGCAACCAAGATGTTCCACCGTCTTGCCTCTTCTGTGGAGAGGCTCTGGAGACTCCGAATTCCTGTCAAAATTGTGAGCCTTCATGGTTGTTTGAACCTGTTATGTTCTTTGGCTATTTTTGATTTCTTGGTAAAAAAAAAAGTGTAATTATCTAATCCCCCCACACCCTCATCCAAAAGAAGAAAAGTAGGGAAAGATGCAAGAAAATGATTAGCGCTTTTTTTGAAGAGGCTGATGATATTGCACGAGTTCTCTGCAAAAAGAAAATGTGTCGTTTGAAAGCAGCATATGGGAGACAGCTGCATGAACGTGCTTTGTGCTAATCTAATGATGGAACTTGGTGGGAAATTTGCAGCCGCTTCTGTTTTCTTTTAGTAATGCTAATAATGCAGTGATTCTCTTGTTTTGGTTGCTGGTCAAGCAAAACGTTATGATTGGGACCCTTTTTTTAACTTCCTACCCGTGATCAAAGTTATGCTTTCTTATCCTTTTTAGCTTTAACAAATGTTTTAAAGATTGTAGCCCAAAGTCGAAAAGCAAAGAGCTGTCTTTTTTTCTTTTTTTTTTTTTAATTTCTAAATTGGGAATAGCACTTTGATTGAAGTAATGATGGCATGTCTCTTCTTTCTGGATTGATCACAGTAAACTCCGCTGCAGTATAGATCATCTTTCATTTCAAGCCTCTTGATAGTTACCCTGTCTCCAGGCCGAAGGGTCATTTTAATTCTTACCGTATCAAGCTTCAGAAAGAACCTCTACTAATCAGAATGATATCGTAATAATTGAAAATGATGATTATGCATTTCGCAGATGGGAAGCCTGAAGAGAAACCTTCCTGGTGTCTTTGGGGAATTCCAAAACTTAACCAATCAGGCTTAATTCAATCAAATCTTTGCCACACGGTCCAAGGAATTTTTGTAGCTACGAGGGACAGTGAAACATCACCAGCTAACGACTGCTTCTCCTTCTCTTGGATTATTATTATTCTTTTGATATTTTCCTGTGGAGAAACTGTTTTGACTTGGGTTCTTTTTGGTTAATACTGATGAATTCTTGAAGAGCAATGCGTCCCAACGAATGAAACGTCCGACTCTTGGATGCCACAATAATGAAACAGCACCAAACCTTATCCAATCACATAATATCTTCTCCCTTCTTATCTACACGATTCATAGACCTCACAAACCTGCCCTATAAATTAGAATCCACCTACTTCTTTTCAAAGCATTCCAAAACTCAAACCTAATCACAGTTCAACATGCAGGCAGCTTTGAGCTTGGCACCACCGATCCTTCCCTTACAAACACCAGCCAGATGCTTCAGATCCCAATCAAAATCCATTCCCGCAATCCAAACTTCTTCTCTATTTGCTCGCATGAAAGCAGCTGCAGTGGCTAATGACACTTCGACAGTAGATTATAGCTCCACCACCTCGTAAGTATAAAATTGTTACGTTATCTAGGTGCATTCGATTTGTGACATGATACGATTAAAGCCAGATTCTTTTTTGTTTCCAGTGTTTTTCCGGCAGAAGCTTGTGAGACCCTTGGAGGAGATGCTTGTGACGTTGAGATGTACCCTGAAGCGAAGCTCAACCCAGGTTTGGCTGACAAAAGGCCTCAAACTGCATCAGAACAGGTTGAAAGGGAGTATCTCGAGTATAATAGCCCCAAGACGTAAGATCTTGATTTCAAGAGCATCAGCTCCTTTGTAATTATGGTTATTGAAGTTGCAAAAGCAAAAAAATTAGTATCAGAAAACGATTAAGCGATGTCTCTTTCTTCTGATGAATGTGCAGGGTCTTTGAAGGAGATGCCTGTGACGAACTTGGAGGAGAATTTTGTCAGCCAGAGCATCAGAGTGGTGCTTAGTGGAATATAGTTTTCTAAAGATGTAAAGACAGATTTTCACTTGCTTTGCCTTTTTCTTCCTAGATATATATAACTCCATCCTGATAATAGTTTGAACACATCTCAAAAAGCCAGAATCTTTCCGTCCCAAGTACTTGTGATGCTCTTTGTTATCTACACATCTCAACGATATACCGAGAAGAATGTACGAGTCTACAGCCGTCACAGACCTTTCATTTGTAGGCTATAGAAAAAGAATAATTGAATCTATTCCAGAATCTGCACGAAAAAATACGAAGGGTTTTTACAGTAGACCTCGGAGCTACTAGTTCAAAGTTGCATTGGGCCAAGGCACCAAAAATTTACAGAGCGCGACGCGTCTTGCCACCGCTATGGTATGCTACAAGCCTCTACACATATAAATGCACTAAAGATGATAGAATATCGAGCAAGTGCAACATTGTAACATCTAAGACGTGGTTGAAATAACAATAAACTCTGTACCAAAAGAAGAGTGCAGGCAGGGTGGGACAACAGAACTTGATGAACAATTGATTATGCAAAGTTATTTCTTCAAGCTCTCTCCAATTTTCAGTATCACCAACAGAAGTATTTATACACCTTTCAAGTCACAACACTTGTAATTCTCAAGAAATGCTATTCCAGTATCAAATGTGTTCCACCAACACTTGTAGAATGCAACGTTAAAATGCCATACATCTCAAGTCACAACACTTGTAATAGTCTCCGCCCAGCCTGTCCATAGATCTGTGCTACTACCGACATACATCCAAGCGAACTGCAGTAGAGTGCAACGTTAAAATGCCATACAGTTAACCTAAAGCATACTACGCAAGTGGTTAACAACTTAAATTATTTAAGGACCTGAAACATGGGAAGTAAAGCCCCAAAAAGACAGAAGAAGGGCTTACCCTAATGATTCAGGGGCACACTTACTGTCCTTCATCTTCTGCAATACCTTCCAAAACCAAATACTGTAGAGCTATGGAGTACTTGGCGATTCTATTTCCAGCTGATTTGGCAATTCCTGATTGGTAGCTAGTCCTAAGAAGAAATGATCCAAAGCCATCACCTAGCATAAAGAGAAGAATGTGCTGCTGATTTCCAAAACAACGACGAGAACATGGAAGTGCAAAATGGAGTATGAAAAACAAGGAAGAACAACAAAAGATAAACAAAGGGTGGCATAAGTGCTTGTGTCAGACAACCTTTAATTGTGTAGATAGAAGAGACCCATCTCCTGTATATATAGAGCAATCTTGGGGAGTCACCATGGTGTGTGTCAGAGAGCAATAGCATACATGGACCTGCTTCACTATGTGAAGGAAGACAATCCGAATTTTAAGAAACAAAAACTGCACATTAGAGTACTAATGCACATGAACTGCTAAACTTGCAAAAATCAGGCGTAGTTAATAGCGGGAATTACTTGGCACGTGAAATGGCGTTTTGACATAGAGCCAACACTCGAATCATAGCCAAGTCTCTTCCGCGGGGATTAGTGTACTTGTCTTGGCAATTTCTTCAAGACATAGAAAATGAAAAGAAATAAAACAATTTTAGAATATCAAAAAAGTTGAGCCAAGTTTGAGACGGTACCAGTTGAGAAGCGTATCAGGCATATCCCAGATATAGGGTATGAAGTGTAGAATAAAGAGGGGAGTTGATAAGATAACCTTTCGTCAAAGAAATCAGCAAAATCATCAATGATGACTGAAAGAGGAAAAGTAGGATGCTGCAAGTGAAATGCAGCAAAGTAGTTCTTGATTCCCTCGTCATCATCCACATACCTTCCAAAATTCCAACCAACCACTCAAGAAAATGCATAATGTTCACACATGGCACGATCACAGTCATCTAAGAAACCGCATGCATTCAGGTAATTTTGGGGTTAAAAGAAGCTTTTTTTTTTCTTCTTCTTCTTCTTTTGTTTTAAGAGGGGGGCGGGGGGAGTTGGGGGGTAAAGGGGTGTCCTTACTTTATTTGGATACGTTGGAAAACTTCAGAAGACGGATCAATGCCCTGGAAGGAAAATCAACACCTCAAAAATCAAAACTTTGTTTACAAGTAATAGAGGAAATTAATGAATAAACAAGTGGAAGTAATAGCAGATTGAGAGAGACGAGAATAGAGGAGAAGAGGGGTAGTGCGTGCCTGAGAGAGAAATGGTGGACAGGTGTCTAACTTGCGACGGTTGCATAGGAATACGGCAGAAGAGGAGGTGGTGCTGAAGGCGGAATTATATGCAAACTGAAAAAGCAAAGAGGATTTCCCGCTGAAGAGATGAGTAAGAGAGTAGGAATTAGGCAAACCTACATCAAACCCAAATCCATTAAGATTGAAGTAGAATTATCTGAAGATTAGCGAAAACAAAATGCAAAAATTAAGCATTGGGGATAGGGAAAGTAGCGGGGGAAAAAAAACTAGTATTACGAGGAAGGAGGGCCCGAAAGAAGCAAAATTTGGGGTTGCTGCTGCTGCTGCTGTTCAATTTGGGGAATGGAAAAGAATCTTTCCACCATTTGAACTCTCTTCCTCCCAGCAGTGAGCGGGACCGATCCGAGGGGTAAAACGCAAAGAACCGACGGAGGCCTCTTCAAATTCACACGATGGCTGGCTGCAAAGGGCCTCTTATCTGACCCCTCCCCCTTATTATTATTAGTATTTTATATAATTCAACGAGCCACCCAGCCCATCCTGCCCTTCCTCTTGTATAACTCAACTTATGCATTCATTTTAAGATGGGGTGGCAGTACAGCCCAGGTGTACTAGTGGCAAGTACCTGGAGTGGAGTGAATTCAGTTGGCGCCAGTTTGGCGGGTGGAACATTCATATTGTCACATAGTGTATATCGTTTGGTTTAGCTGTTTTTTGAAATGTTTTTAAAATATTTTATTATAATGGTGTGTTTAAAAAAAAATTTATTGCAAATATTTTTGTGATGTTTTTGAAATATTTTTAAAATTTAAAAATTTTTATGATATTTTTTAACCAATCATCACCGCTGTCACCACTACCACCATCCCTTCCTTCTCCTTCCTCCTTTTCCCTCCTCTTCTTTTTCCTCCTTCTCCATCTCTTTTTTCTTCCTTTTCTTTCCTCTCCTTCTCCCTTCCCCTTTCCCCGCCGCGCCTCGCTACTCCTTTTTCCTCAATTTGGTTGCGGCCAGATCATAGGAAGGGGAAAACAGGGTTGGGGTGTGGCGGGAAAGGAGAGGAAAGAGGAGGAGGAAGAGGGAGGGAGAGAAAAAAGGAAAATAAGGGGATGGTGGCAATGATTGGTAAGAGTGGTGATGATGATAGATGAAAGAAGAAAATGATGTAAATTTTATTTTTTATTTTTTTTTATATATTTGGAGTTATTTTTTATTTATTGTAAAGGATGTGGTGTTTTTGAAGTTATTTTTATTTATGTGTTGTCAATTGTCATAGCATTATATATGAAAATTTTGTTTTAAAAAAAAAATTGGAGAAATCTTAGTAGGAGCATTTATCCATCCTCCGTTGGGAATCTGATCACATCTCACGCACGTGACTCACGTGACATGCCTCCCGGCACTCCCCCAACCAACTCCCTCAGGCCTGGCCTCAACAAAATTTGTTCCCTGAGTTTTTTTTTGGGTTTCCCATTTTCCTTCCTTCCTTCCTTCTCTCTCTCTCTCTCTCCTTCCTTCCTGCCTGTATATCTCCTCTCACAGGCAAGTTTGTGCGAATCCCAACTGGGTTGGGCTTCAAAGGAGACTCACCTGCCACGCGCTTCCCTTTGATTTTCTGTGAGTTCATACCTCCACTTTTAGCTGTTTCTTTCGCTTGCTTTAAAGTACTGCTGCTGCTGCCTATCATCCTCAAATCAAGAATGTTTTAACTTGTTCAAATCTCAAGTTTCTGCATTTTCTACTCCCATTATTATATTACACACACACGCTTCCCAGTATGCTGTCCTATTAGTTAGTCTTCATCAATAATCAAAATTGTTCGCTTGGCTTTTCTGTCTCGTCTTGATAAACGCATAAGCATTTTTGGAAACTCTTCAATTACTTTTAGCGAAGTCGTGTTCTACTTTCTTACTCGCAACTATTGAATACTTTATATAAATTCACCTGAAAGATTGTCCTCTAAAATTCATCTTTTTTTTCAGTATGGTCCCTGGTAATTAAGTACTTGCTGACATTTGAAGGACAAACACCAAAATGGCGACTCCTAATTAATTCATCGTATCTGCCTCTGCTCCTTGGCATCTCCTGTTAACTGGGTTTTACTATACGCTATACGCCCCAGTATTCAATTACCACTACTTGACACTCCACTTGGTTGCACACTTGACAAGGGAAAAACAAAACCATAAAAATTTAGGCATTCCAATTAGCTGCAAATCCCTCCGTTCGTTGCACTGCCGAACTTGTAGTGTTACTGTAGCCTTTAGCTTTCCGCACTAGGCGGCTTATTTGACATATCCAATTTACTGATTCCTCATGGGTGTTTTAATTTTTTTTCAAAAAAAAAAAAAAAAAAAGGAAGGTCCAATTTCTACTCCGCTTTATAGGTGAATGGGAGCAAAATCTTGAAGGTTGAACCCATGGATCATAGAAAAACGCATTCTCCATCCGGATATGGCAAACCCCCCTGGGTATTCAGAGGCAGGTAAGTGAAGTTTCATTGAATCTGTAATGCTGCTCTCTCCAACCCTTTCCCCATTTTAATTTCACTTCTTGATGACCTGCCCATCCTTCTTTCCTTTTCTATTTCAGCGCCCTATACCAGCTCCATCTTGTCAAAGCAGAGACTGCTCGAGCTTTCATCCCCAAGGAGTTCAGATTGGTTGAAGCTTTTGGGTACACATATTTCTATTTCCCGGTTACTAGCTCTGTGCCTTCTTTTTGTGGCAATGGACGAAGATATCTTTGATTCTGATAGTCAGTTCTTCTTCTGCAGGTACACTCTTGGTGGATTCTTTCTCGCTAATTATGATGACAGCCCTGCTGGGAAATTTGATGAGGTACTGTATTCTGAGGTCAATTGATTTATTGGAAACACAAAAGACTTTCGGTCACCACTAAGGTATTGGACGGAATTCAGTTCAAGCAACTAAATTTAAAAGATTAATCTTTAATCTGGTTTCTTTGAAGATCCCCTTCTGCAGCTTTTAATTTTTTTTTTTCATGCCATTCATTATTTTAATTTCAAAAACTTCAGCTTGTGGTGATTGCAGGCACTGTATGGAACCCACCAACATCTTGTGCGTAAGTATTCTGCTAAAGAATTATCACTCGTAATTATTTAAGCATTTGAAATTGATTTCTATGCATATAAACCTTGGTGACATTGTATGGTCAGAAAAGAGTGTGAGCTGATTCATATAGACATGCTAAGTACTATTCTGAAGTTATTTGAAACAGAAATGTAAATTTCAACTTTTCAGATAGCAAATAACAATGCCCAGTGGTGTAATCAGAGCAGTGTTTTATGGTATCCTCTGTTCCTTTGAAACACAGATGGGCTGCCAGGGTGCTGGTGAACAGTGATGAAGCTTGCATTCATGGACAAAAGGTAGGAATCAGTAAGATTCTATGCCTTTCTAAACTTTATTTCAACCTAAATACTCATTATTCTGAAACTGATAAGAGTTAAAATCTAATTAGGCAATGAACAGCGATTTCTTTTCCCAAGTTTTGAGATGACAGAAAACTAATCCATTTGATCACTGCAAAGTGATTCATTATTGCCTTTTTATATTCTTGTCACAGGATATTGGACTTCCAAGCCAAGTTGCAAAATTTTCAAAGGTAAGTCTTGAGCTAAGTACTACCATCCTGTAATGCGATCAAGTCATCCAATTTTCCTAGCTGCATGATACATCTGAACCTCGTGTATTTAGCTGAAGAAATGAAGCTTTACCACATAAACCAACTTTTCGCAATTCAAGGTTCTTTTCTCTTGTATTGACTATAATCATCCAATCTCGACAAGTTACGGTCATGGATTTGGGTGGTAAAGCTGCCTGCACTGAAGTGGGTTTGTCCTTGGCACTGATAAAGCATATAATCAGCAAATATTTATTCTCATAGCTAAGAGAGTGGCTACTTTTTCTTGAAACAATTGTTTTAACTGTTCTATTTATTGTGATTTATAATGAAACAGACAGTTAGAGCAATTGCAAAGACTTCAGAAACTAAAACCAGTGGATTCCTGAATATGGTTGGCATGTTTAGTCTTGATGGCCCTAAAAATTCTATGGACGTACAAGTGTCTGAAATGAAGGGTATGGAAGAGATGAATATCTGCAACATCAACTTTAGTGCCCCTGGTTAGTTTTTAGATAGTATTTCATCGTATTAAATAGTCAGCTTTAGATGTGTAATTTGCTTGTGTGAAGGAAGAATCAGATCGTCCAACAATTTATCACTTGAGTTGCTAGTTTTATGGAGCTTCTGGAACTTAAATCTGCTGATCATCTTTCTGGCAATTTTTTTGTGGTTGCAAACTTTTCAATGGCAGCCTCTGAACTGGAGTCCAGCGGGTGGATGGGTCCACTTGTTAAACTGTCGCTTCCGAGCTTTAGGTAAACGATTGTGATTGTCTGTTTTCATTTTGTATTCAGACAACTAACCTCAATCAGGGCTGTGCTTGCAGTGGGCGGACCAAGTACAACCATCACCTCCTCAAGTATTCTTGCCAGATTGAGTGCAGGTTTCTCTTTGCTCTTTTGCATGTATTCGAGCTGTCATTCAATATTTAGACTGCTAGCGAAGCCATTGTTGGAGTCTTTTCTGCCTGCCATACGGAGGGTTCTTTTCCAAATACATTAAGGGAGTCTCTGAACAGCATGGAATGCTGAAAGATACATTCTTTTATTGAGAACACCAAAAAAGGTTAGCTTGACAGGGATGTCTCTGGGATGGTGATCTCAACCTTAATCATTGGCACATGAAGCCTTGGCTTTAGTAACAAATTCTGATTTTCTGCTAGCAATTTGAAAGGGAATAAAAGGGGAGAGCCCTTGGGGGGGGGGGGGGTGTTGGGTTTGGTTGGCAGGAAATGCTGGTTCATGTTTGTAAATAACCATCATGTTATTGCAAGCTATATTGTAGATGCTTTTCTGATGGAGTAGTTTTAATTAGGGTGAGAGCAGTGGCACCTGCAAAAGTATTAGGGCCTCCTCCCCCTGCTGTGGATGTAGATGAAGAAAGATCTTGCAGAGAGTTGAGGAGAAAGAAAAGAAGCCTCAGCGTGTCAGTGTTGCTATCCAAACCAATTTTAGCGCTGCAGTTCAATCGTCTGGAAATGAAGGTTGAAGCCCCAACAACGGTCTGTAAACGCTAACAGAACCCTTAAAGACATTAACAGTGTGATGTTAGCACATTTTTGCGGTGCTCATTGTGTCTTTTCTGCTTAATTTTAGTATTAGATTTACTATTTGCTTTTGCTTCCTTTCCAAGTTAGTTGCTTCTTGTATTGATTCCACTCTCTGAAAACTATCTTACTGAATTAATGTCGAGTTTCCCTCCTGAAAACCATATATTATTGACTTAATGTTGAGTTTTATCCTGACCTGTGACAACAGAAAAGTGCTTGCTTGTATGTAGATTAGATCCATGAGATCAAGGAGAAATAAACTAAAGCATGAGAAATCGGGGCCCACACACTAATTTTCAGGCCCAGGATCTGCCTCTCGATTGAGAAAGTGACTGATTGATCTCAATTCATGTGGGCCTTAGTTCCAACTGCTTCCTGTTTGGAAGCAACAATATCAATAAAACGTTGCATGATGATGGACGGACCAGTAATCTGTGTATATATAATATATATCATAATATAATATATATATAGGGGAAAGCCTCACGCAACGCGTGTAGTTTGTGCTATAATTAAAGATAGTTAATATTATTATTTGGAATTCTAGTATAAGAATTGAGTATGATAATTTTTTATGTGATATTAAGATTAAAAAAAATCATATGTTACATTTTGAGTTAAAAATATATATATGCCAGTTAAAATATAAAGATACGATTCAACTTACTTTGTCTAACCTAATTTAATAAAAGACTATTTTAATTGCTCATGCATTTAGGATACTAATGTTATTTAGTTGATTTGATCTCGCTATTGAGGGCAATCAACCCCATATCTTATATATAAGGAGATTTCCGAACAATTAGCATACTTGAAGAAAATCTTGTAGTAGAATTCAGTTTTGCAAGCCAATTCTTGAATTTATAATTGATTTCTAGGACGCATATCATCCAGAGGCTTCACATGAGCAACATAATATAATTTATTTATTGTTATTTAGACTATAGAAAGCATCTCCTTTCGATGGGTACAATCAACGATATTCATTTTTGTCTAGTTATAAAGTATACAAACTAAATGCTAATTTAAAAGATAATTTTTAACAGGGTCCCAAAAAAAGTACAAGCATCTTATCCACTCATTTAGGAAAATATAAAAGTAATAAGTACATGCTTAGTTTTGTAGCCAATACTTTAGATATAGTTAAACATATTGACAAATTTCAGTATGAAGTGAAAAATATGTTGTATGGTAGTTAATAAAGTAGCAAACGATTTAAAATTATACCAGACTAATAGTTAAAACAACAAAGAGTATGAATCTATAATGGGAATTTATGTATAATTATTTTAACATAAAACAATTAAAAATGGTCTCTTCCTTATCAAAACTTGTTCTAACATGCGACAATTGAATAAAATACTAAAATTATTGCACATACAACTTGCAATATTAACTAATTTTTTACAACTAAAAGTATTGATTAAGAACATATCTATGAAAAGGTGTTGCAAAATAGGGAAAAAGTAGCTTAATGTACACATACTATTAAATCTATGATAAAACGTCAAGAAAACAAATTCTCTACTAATTGACATTATGTTGTTCTTAACTCTATATATATAATTTTTGAAAATAACTGATTGAGAAGACTTTAAGAAATTAAAGACTTAGATGTTATAAAATTAATGATTAGAAGTTTTATGTATTTCCTAAACACAATGATTCAGTTGTACCAAATGATTTGAATGGATATCAAACAAGTCACATATCAAACTTACCCTAGTTTTTAGAATTTTAAAAGGACTCCAAGTATTCAACAAACTAAAATTAGTTTATAATGATCATATTCCAATTACTTAATGCCTTCCAAACACTCTCAAATTTTCAAAAAGCCCACCCTTCGGTTGAATCAACCTAAACTCATTTTTAGTATAGGATATATATATATATTACATCTAGCGGAAAGGCAGCGAGATAAAGAGATGAGACCACATAGTGCTTCAGGAAAGCAAATGTTTGCCGCCTACCCAACAGGTATCTTTGATGGCAGCGGAGATTTCCGTCCATTGGAAAGGGAAGAAAGCTGGTTGTGGTCAATCTCTTTGCGGGATGCCTCCCATAGTCGTTGCTCAATATCTAATTTCCGCAATTCCATCAAGCCGTGCTCCACTACACAAAAGAACCCAGAAAAGGAGGGAAAAAAAATGATTCGGTTGTTTAACATGGTAAAGATTCAGGCACAGCTTGACCAACCAATATTACTCAAGCAAAGACAAAATTATCTAAATTTCTTGAAGACTGCAGCCACTAGATTTATCCGTTGATCTTGGTTTGCTCTCATGTTGCATTATATACCTAACCAGAAGAGCATGTGAAAGCTCCTCTATTTTTAAGGCATCCAGAGATTTGGTATACTATTCTCACATCGCTTTCTTGACAGCACTCGATGATCCACCTTTGTAATCTCATGCACTATGCAACTAAACTTGTATAACTCAGTGAAGCACAGACTCTGTGTCATATTAGATCAGCAGATTAAGATTTCCAGGCAAAAACTTTTTCCACTGCTAAAAACACTCTCAACATTGTTTTCTAATAACATAACAAGAAAAGAGGTTCAGCACGACCAACCAATTCAGAAATAAGTAAACTTTTATTTTCTTCTCTCAGCTGAAAAATCCAGGGCACATAGTTAGTTTGCACGTGCTGTTTAATGCTTCAATATTTTGAAGATATGCTGGAATGCAATGAGAAACTCTATCATGAATTTAGGCCCAGAAAACTTCAGAATAGATGTATACTAAGTAAAAACCCAGAGCTCCAATACATAGGAACTATTAGTTGCATCTGTTTATTAATCAATAGACAATTTTATGAAGAGGTTACCATCAACTGCATCATGAGAAGTTGGTGAATGCACACTGCAGCTTATCCAAAATTGAACTCGTTTGTTGGCTATTTCCTCCTCTATGCCGTGGGATTTTGCTCTTCTCCAGAAGCAAGTAAGCCATGCCTGAGGAGTAAAGTTTTCACAGAAAATCAAAGAACTGAGCTTCAGTTATCATCTTCTAACCTTGGCCATGATTACAGATGGATAGACATTGACATTCTGAACAAATTTGTGACAAGCTTCTTTCTGGCTGTCAAACTCAACAAGTTCAAAAAGCACTAAACTTAGAATCTAACGACACAATATAGATACCTATGTCTGTATTTGACAGAGCAGCAGATAACAGATACCATAGATCAGCACATAGAAAAGCTTAGCAATAAGAAAATATAATACCTCCTTGAAGAGGACATCCTCAGATTCCTCTGGACTTAGTTCTGCAAAGAAAATGGTAAGATAATCAACTAAAATTTTCAAGTCAGTCTGGGCTGAAAAGACGAGCAGGATACGGAGAGGGGAGGGGAGTTGAAGCAGTGACGCGAAAGTTGTACTTTTAGAAGCATAACATGATACAGAGAAATGCATCTAAATAAGACTCACCAGATGCTTCCGTGAACTTTGGATCCCCTGGTGACTTGATATCTGCCAGATTTGATAAATAATACAGCAAAATCAAACAAAGCAATGAGGGTATCATCAACAAGTTATTTACCAGAATTGATATTTTATTGGAAATTAAACAGAAATTGCAGGTTTTATTGGGGTTCCCAAAATTGAGAAATCAACTTTAAAGTCCATCTCATGGAAGGCTTTAAAGGGGAGAAATCGACGACTTCTTTCTCCTTTTCCTTCTTCTCGTGCGACAGCTTTTTCCTTTTCTTCTCAAACTCCTTCCACTCCTATTCTCCATCATCCCACTCCTCCAGTCTCTTCTTCAGTTCTTCCAACCAAACACTCCATTCAACGGTGATGCAAAACAACCATGGCCCAACAACGGTAGTAGTAGTTCATATTTCTACCAGAGGGGCTGACTTACTAACTTAATCATAATGTGTTTGCATCTGATATCATATATCTGCTAGCCCACCTCATTGACATGATTTCCAAGTGATCAATCGAAGCTTGTCTTTACCTGAAACAGAGATCCTAGAAGAATTTGGCCGCCTTTGTTGGGCCAATGCAAGAATAATGGCATCCTCAACCTTTTGAAAGAGCAAAAGAAAAGTTAGATGGTTATGGATGGAAAAACGAATAAAATAATTTCACAACAATCCACAAAACAGCTAGAAACATGGCAGTGTATGACAAATTGTAAGGAAAAAAGTCAACAATATTATCATCTAATCATATTAATAGTACAACGAATAATCAAAAAACAAAATGATTTAAAATACAAAGCTGCAACCTTCAATGAAGCAAGCTCCTTCAACCCCATTTCTACAGATAGCATACTCTCAATATAACCTTCTCCTGTCAGGTCATTGAAGTCCTGAACAAGCTTTCCTCTCTCCGGATTGGAATCATCTGTTCAATATCAATTAACAGGAAGTCACTCAGTTGAGCAGTTGACAATGATAAGAAACGAAACAGATTGTTATTCTCTCAAATGCAGCTTAAAAAAAGTTTCCCCACAACAGAGAAACATGATATCCAACGATATAGTTGGAGAAAGAGGTAGATTCAGCATGAGATGGAACAATATATTGCTTAAGAGGTAGTATCACCAGGCCTTGAGCATTGAAATGGAATAAGAGGATTCAGGCACTCAGCCCAAAATAGTTTGATCAAGGATTTTGTTTAATTGAGATAAGACGACATCATAGATGAATGAGTTAAACTAGCCTCTCTCCCAGCTTTCCTCCTTAGCCTTCTGTCCAGCTGAAATGACAACTTCAAAAGGAAGAGGTGCTAATGATGACCAGTATTCAAACTTCCCAAATGCAATATCAGCACAGATACCTGAGAGGCAACTGTATGATGTGAATAAATACATCTAAAAGAATAACCTTAAATATGAATAGACTCCATTTTCACCTGAAAAAATATATACGTAAATAAAAGACATGGACAGACCAAGCATAAAAGATATATGCACTCATAATGTGTATTATAAAAAACAAAAAGAAGAACAATAGTATTGACCCATGATCATATATGGGTTACACCAAGTGAGACAATTGTTTGGGACAAGTTTCTGAAGAGAACAATTTTTGCCAGGCAATTAAGTAAAGCCTTTCCTCCCACTTCTCATTTCAAAGTGAGTATTTCAAAGGTGACTTGACCATACACCATAGCCTCACACAGAGCCCATTAGCTTGTAGCTTGAATGGCACGCACGATGTATCAGGACTAAAATCCAGAAATAGTGCTCCAGTACTTAAAGGAAAAAAAAGAAGTATTTCTTTTTTCCAAGTCTCCTCTTTATGAACACAAAGTGTGACTGACATAAACACAAGCTTAGCTCTTTTTTCTCCCCCTCCACCTCCCCAGTGGTGCACTGACACAGTAAAAACCGTTCCTTTAGCTTTTGGCTTTTCTTTCTCAAGTGTGCTTAAAGGTTTTAAGCATCACGAATGCCAGTGAATCAATAGTCAAAACAGACAAAGAATATAACTGGATAAAAACTTTTGCATCGATAGAATCATATGCACAAACATGCATGAATAGATATACACAGAGTTCTGGTTATGTCAAGTCTTTGATGCCAGGTCTTTAGCTTGTTCAGGTGCAAAATTATAAGAGTTTATTTGCCTACATGTACCAATTTGAAATTCTCAACAGGTCTAATAGTAAGAGCTTATTAGCTGCCATGAAATGAGAAGAGTTCGGCACTCTTACCATACTTAGCAGCTAGACCCCAATAACGTGCAAGCCAACACCTTTTAAGGACAACTTCCTCCTTGAAAAAAAAAAATCACTAGATTAACTCTAGAACAATAAACTCTGCTCTGAGCAATTATAGGCTTAGCTCCGGACCATTTCATTTTGTGTCAAAACCATTCTCTGAGTCATTGAGTGGAGAGCTCTGACTTCAGATTCAGCTTCCTGAAGCTGATCCGCAGCGGATGTGGCTTCAGTTTTTGCATTCTAATTGAACAGAAAATCAAACTGTCAAATGGCAATGTTAAGATGCAGCAGAGTAGTTAAGTATGGGTAGCACCTTTACCTTAGCAGCAGATCTCAAGGATGAAATTTCCATATCTGTACCATCTTTTGCTTGTTTTGCCTCTTTAAGTGCAGCCTATGATAAGCAATCATTTTTCATCATAAGTTTAATGATGAGTCATAATAGCAGCGTAAAAAGAGCAATTTTGCAAAGAAAAGCAAAAATGAATGATTTTCTGCTAAATGTTTTCAAATTTCTTTCTTCCTGCTTTCCCAAAAATGTGGCATATTTATTAGTACAAATATCTGTTCATGGTAAACAGAAAGCAATTAAATTCCATTCCTAGTTAAGTGAAATGTTCAACCACTTACCTCTCTCCGGCGTAATCCAGCTTCCTTTCTGCAAATTGGGAATAAAATCATCATATTGAAGTTACATGATTAATTGCAATATGAATGACATAGGAACAATCAAAATCCTGGATACCTGCTTAACAATTTAGCTTCCAAAGAAACTCCTTCACCAAGAGCAGCAACCTGATGTACAAGAAACAAAATATGATCCAGAATAAGATGTGACTGTATCTCCAGCACAATAAAGAGGGTCCAACAACTAGAGAAAATTATTCTATTTAGCACACAACAAAAAGAATTGTAGCCAAGTATTCTACCAACAAAATGGAACTTGAATGGCAATCAAAAAAGTTCCAAGACAAATGAGTTCAGTTGAGAATATCTTTCTGAAGGAAGAAATAGAAAACTATGAATCTACAGCCCTTAATATAAGCCTAGCATGCACCATTTTCGAAGGGAAAGCACATCATCTTCAATTTCACCCAAAAACAGTGCTTATATCAACAGACAGCATGTACTTAAATCAAACTTGTAAGATTGACAAGTTTTTTGTTTTTCTTTTCTCGTGTTCTACCAATCAATTGATAAACAATAAACATGGAGCTTCGAGAAAATTAACGAGCTAATTTAAGCAATAAGTGGACCCTTATTCCATTACAGTACTCTAAAACAGGTTGCAGACAAAGAGGTGACCTGTTTCTCAAGCTCCTTTACTCTAGCTTCCGCTTCTTCACAACTCTCTTCTGCAACTCTGAGCTGTGGGGCAACTAGCAAGCTTAGTACCACAAAATGTATACATAGTTGTTAAAGTATTATTATCACAAGAGAGTTGAATTTTGCAGACAGAAAAATGCACCTTTTCAAGAAGATTTTCATTTTCTTCTTTTAGCATATCAAGCTGTCCAACAAAAATACGTCACTCTGACAATTCAACACCACTCAATACATAAAGCAGAGAGTAATCTCCACAGACATTAGACAAATGATTCAGGAAGTCTAAGCTGAAATTTGGGTTCAGAACAGAACTAGGTTTTGCAAGACAAGCACTAAAACATACTTCATCATGAAGTGCAGAAGCCTCACGCTGACCTCCTTCATCCTTCAAATTTAACTGACCTAGATCTGGTGAGAACCTGTAACTCATATTTTTAGAAATTCTTAAATTTGCATAGTCAAGTACATGAACTAGGAGAAAGATCAGCTGATTGATGTCTCAATCCTTGACAATCTTTAACAACAGAACGGAGGAATCTCTTGCATGTCTACACTTGTAATTCAACTTTAGCAACTCAAAATTTGATTTTATTTCTCCATTATAGTAGTTCAAGAAATGTCGTAGCACTAGAAGTGCTATGAGGCAGTTATGGAGCAGAGTGCACCATAAAGGCCAAGAAGAAAAATACATTGCAGATAAGGAATTCAGGGTTGGAAGAGAATGGTAAACAAAACCAAACAGCTATTATGTAACCTTTTCTCTCTTTGTTTGCTTGTAGGAGGATCTATCGGTGGTATAGGCATTGGAGTCTTGAGTGATGGTTTAGGAGGCGGCACAGATGGGATGGTCCGAATTGACATGGATGGCCTTCCAGTTGATGCTGAACGAATTGAAGAACCTTCCTCCACTATGTTTCGAGTCAGCTAATAAAATTTTAAGGGGAAATGGGGAAGAGATAGGAATAGAGAGAAGCCAATTAGTCTTTGAACAATGAAAGTAGAAAATTCCAGAGACTGCAAAATGCAATATAATATGTCTCAGATCATCCAGCTGTGCTTGTAGCAAGAAAGGATGAAGAAAAGCTAAAAATAGGCAGCTCAATGTACACCCCAGGGGTGTGCTTGAGGGTGCGCGTGCATATGCGTGTGATTGTTGATTGATGAATTTGAAAGCCACACAGCAACAGTCAAACGGTCGAACTTACTAAGGGCAATTAAGCGAAGGCAAGAAATCATAAATCAAACTCGGTTAATTGTCATCCCAAATTTTTAAAAAGAGTTGACAGCACAAATACGGGGCAAAATCCGTCCTTTTTTTTCCCCGAAATCTCTTTATCAAAATATTATGAAATGAAACATCCTGCAATATATACACATAAAAATAAATAAGAAGAGAAGAAGAAAAATAAAAGAAAAGCCCAAGCTAAACAGAAAAGAAAAAAGAAACCAGCTTGAGACGATCTGAATCTGCATTGTGAACTTAAAAAGCTTCAGGTCCTTAATCATGCAATGCAACTAAGTGTGTTCCAAGAAAAATGCAATTATGGCAATCTACCGGGCAGCTCAAAAAAAATAAATGAAAATAAATAAAGGAATGAGAAAAGGAGTTCAAAGGACGCGATTAAATGGTAAAAAGGAGTTAAATCATGATGGCATTTCCGGTAAAAGCGAGATCGAAGAATAGTTAGACAAAAAGATCACCTCAGTCGAGGAAGATCTGTTGATCTTAGTAGAAGGGACAGCAGCAGCAGGAGGAGGAGGATTGAGGGCGGCCTTGCTAGCATTGGTATTGGCGTTAGTGTTAGTGACGGCACTAGTGTTGAGGGTTTTGGGGAGAGACCTTGGAGGATGAGCTGTAAATCTGAAGTGGAGGTCTTCTTGGTCGTGGTCATCATCGTCGTCGTCGTCATTATCCGGAGAAGCAGCCGCCTGAGAAGCCATGACCTGAGCGAGGCGCTGAGCAGCAGCTTTAGCAGCATAGTGCTGGTTGCGCTTAATGTTGGAAATGGCGGTTACGGAAGTGGAGCGAGAATGGCGCGCCGGAGAGGATGAGCCGTCGGTGGCAGCAGTGCCTGATTCGCTATTCCAGCGGCGAGCATAAGCTGTCGCCGGAATATCATTTATCTTCCCCTCCATTTCTTCTTTTCTTCCAGTATATACCAGTATAGTACTTTGAGTTTATTTATAACTTGCTTCAACAGCTGAGCTGAGACTTGCGGAGAGAGTGATGCAAAATCGAGTACTATTTTAGAAGAGGAAGAGGTGAAAGATCATTAGATTCATTCATAGGGCCCCCCAAGCCTTCCTAATTCTTAGTCCGTAGTTCGCAGTTAGTCAGTACTTTTTTCTGGTAAAATACATGACGACCACTTTGTGTTATCGCCCAAAGACACAAAATTCTCTCGTTCATTAAATAAAAAGCGTCGCATTACCGTCTTTTTTTTTTTTTTTTACCCGCTACAAAACCGTACGGTACAGGTCGTATTTTTTCTTTATTAACAAGATTATAATTTATTTTTATATTTTATATTTTCTTTCATTTTTTTTGTCAAATGAGGCATTTCATTTTTTTATTTATTCAAAAAATCATTTCATTTTATTTTTTAATTCTATTTTTTAAACTTTTTTCTTTCCTTCCGTCCTGCTCCTCCCCCAGGGGCGTTGACGACTCGAGCTCGAGCTCGTGTTGACCGAGCTCGAGCTCGAGTCGAGTTCGAACAATTCGTTAATACAAACGAGTCGAGCTCGAGCCTTTATTTTTAAGGTTCAATAGCTCGACAAGTCGCTCGTTAGGTTCGAGTAAATGTGAAATTACAAAAATATCCCTTTGTTAGGTTACCTAATTTTTGTTCCTCACTTTCACGGCCCCCAATCTAACATCTTCCTCCACCGACAGTCCTAACTAAGCCTGTTGACAACCCTTCTTCCAGCTCCTTCACAGAATTGGACCCAAACAAACACGCCATAGTCGTAGCGGCTGCCACCGCCGCCGTTGCCGAGGCTGCTCTTGCTGCTGCTCAGGCAACTGCAGAGGTCGTTAGGCTGAGTTTGGATTAAGGTGTCAGTTCTTGGATTAAGGTTTGAGCTTTACGAATTCCGCTGTCTACTTTAGCAGAGATATTTGAAGCTGAAGTTGCATAAGGAGTTTTGATAAAGTTGGTGTATTGAGGTCACGTTGGGTTGGAGAAGCAGGTCACGTTGGATGCCTCAGCAACTGTGGTTCTCGTTTGAGCTTCATCAGATGACGGATCCATTAAGGGAGGCAGCTCCGAAGAACACAAATCACCACGACAATTTGTCGCCCAGGTTAGCCCTGAAATGTGTGGGCTTGCGCCTGAACAAGAAACCTCCTCAAGTAATGTATTGCTTTTTCTGGCCACAATTTGCTGATCGTCTAATTTTCTTGTCCTTTTCTTTGGGTTTGATTTGCTAATTGAAGTTTGAACAAAATGGAGAGCTATCCCTCGGTAGCAAGTCTAAAATAATTATACTTTACAAGACTTAAAGCATCACCTGCTTTCTACTTTTTGCTGGCTCTTTGGACTATTTTTTGCTGGTTTTTCGTGTCTGATTCTTTCAATTTTTTGGCAGCTGTTTTGCGCTCTTTTTTTTTGGCAGCTCACTTGCTGGTTTCTTTTGCTTCTTAATATAGTTAATGTTGAAGAGCTTATGCATCGGAGCTTGATTTGTTGATGAAGTGTTGAAGACATTATTTACATTTGAAATTTGTTGGTTACTTATTGTATTTTATTTTCTCGTGCAACAATGGTTGAACATTTCAAGTGTTGGAAATTTAGATTTTTATTTCTTATATGTTTATGATTATATTAGTGGATAATTTGTAGGCCTTAAGATTAGGAATATGCGAAATTTGTTATTATCATGCTCAAATTGAATAAAAAATATGCGGACAAAAATGTGGTTTTCTTGCCCAAAATTCCAGAAACTCGAGCTGATTTCGAGCTCGAGCTCGAGCTCTTAATGAGCTAGAAATCGAGCTAAATTCAAGCGAAACGCGAGCCAGAAAATCAAACGAAAATCGAGCGGCTCGCAAGCCAGAATTCGAGCTAGGCTCGCGAGCTATAAGCGAGTTGATTTCGAACTTGCCTTTTTCTAAATCGAGCTGAGCTCGAACTTCATTTTACGAGCTCGTCGAGCTCGCATATAAATAAGCCTAGCTCGACTCGACAATTTTAAAATTCGATTCGACTCGACTCGTTTGCACCCCTATCTTCCCCCATCCTTCCCTTCACTCTCCATCACCTGCACCATCATCTCCTCTACCTCAGTTGGGATCCTCTATGCCACTACTCGGTACCAAATTCAGTGTCCATCCCACTTATCACGTGAAGGTAGAAGAAATTTAAATAAACAACACATAATAAATTAAATAAATAAGACACTTGACATAAATATAGAAGTGGCACTGAATTGCCACAGGAAAAGTGGCACTAAGGATTCCGTGTGCCTCTACCCCACCCATCACCCTTCCCCTCCTCCTCCCCTCTTTTCTTCCTCTTCCTCCTCTCTTGGAATCAAAAGTTTTCCTAGTCGACCCCAACTCCAAGTCTCAGTCTCCAATTTCACTACTAAAATCTGCACCCAAGTATAGAGTCTCTCTTATTACTAGGATGTCAAAATCAGACAAACCCTAATTTAACCCACATTCTTTAGAATTCAAACATTATCAGCTCCATAATTTATCACAAAATACTAATCAAGAGACCAAACGTTTCACCGCAGTCAAGTACAAAATATATGAAGTTCCAATTGCATCACTATTCTCCTAAGACAACAGCCTGAGAAGTAAGTTGCAGCAGGAGCGGTCATTCGATTTCTTTATAGACAAGTCCTCCAAGTCGATGCCCAAAATTGCTCCGATGCACTTGAAGCTTATCAAGTTACCGCATGTTAAAATATTGGTTTAATTTCTTTTAATCAGATTTTTTTATTTTGTGTACAAATAACTAATTTTTTAATTAATTTTAGTTATTTAAAATAATAATAATAAATTTTCCTATTTGTATGAATTTAGAAATTAGGAATTATTTCCTATTCTACATGAGATTAGAAATTAGTCGTTATTTCGTGTTATTATTTGGATATTAGTCAATTAATGTAACTTATAAATAGGTGAGAGGTTGGCATACTATAAAATGACACATAATAACAACATATAACCTTATACATGGGGTGAGAGAGAATTTTTAGAAAATAAGAGATGATATATAAAATGTGGGTTTGGATTCAAATTATATTCTTGTATAAAGTTTTTCTGTCATAATAAAGAATGGATTTCTTTTAGTGGACATAGATTCAATGAAGAAGTTGAATCAAATTAAATATTGTCCGTCGTTTATCTTTCATACTTTTGATTTGTTTGTCATTAAATTGTTGTATACTTAATGTTTTAATAGTTATTTTTTTCGTATTTGGATCCTAACAAGTGATATCAAATTTTGATTGTGAGATTGGATTACTCATGCGCAACTGAATCCCAACAAATTGATATCAGAATTTGATTACGAAACTAAGCTGCTCACTGGCAATTAAATCCCAACAAATTGGTATCAGAGTGGGGTTCATGATTGAATTATAGTTGACTATTAAGGTTAAGTGAATTGGTGACTGTTACCAATTGAATAATTTAATAGGTGATGTCCTTATTTCAAGAATTTGATAAGAAGTATTGATGGTGAAGAATGAAAAGTCAAAAAGTATGAAAAGACTTGAAGGTGAATCTAGACAGATAATTCAAGAATCAAGCAAAAAGTGAAATTCAATATTGATTTTGAATGTGAATCGGTGGAGACTTTTTCACAATTTCAACGATTGATATTTCATCTCAGATGGTTGTTAAATTTCGGTTATGTTCTTTGAGTAGTGCGACATGTGTCCTAAAGAAATAAAAAAAAAATCTAATTTTCAAGTGCCACAAGACTTTGATGACAACAAATTTTATGTTTCAGGTGAAATTTTGAAAATCACATATGGCAAAACAATCTTAAGAATAAGAAAAAGTATGATGATTTTACTACTTGATTTTGTTACGTCAATAGTTAGAAATAAAACTCACAAAAAGATATTTCAAATTGCGAGTGGTGATGAGAAAAAATCATGCAAAGGGAGATGGTGAATTAAGACATTTACACAGGTGGTTAGACTCTAGGTAAATACACAAGGTCTTTTGCCGATTGAATCAATTAGGTGTTAGTATTAATTCGGATTTGTAATTTAGTACTATATTATTTGATAGTTAAAGACAAATGATCGCTAAAAGAAATATTCGTCAAAATAGATATTTATTAGGAAATGACTTAATTTATTTTAATCAAAATTTTTATTTTATGTGCAAGTAACTAATTTTCTAATTAATTTTAATTACTTGAAATAGTAGTTAAAGAATTTTCTATTTATATGAGTTTAGAAATTATGAATTATTTCCTATTCTGTATCAGATTAAGAATTAACAGTTATTTTCTATTATTATTTAGATATTAGTCAAATAATGTAATTTATAAATAGGTGAGGGGTTGGCATACTGTAAAATGGTATATAAGGACGACATGTAATTTTATACATGGGGTGAGAGAGAGTTTTTGAAAGATAAAGGATGGTATCTAATAATTAGATTTGGGATTCGATCTTGTATAGGATTTTTTTTTGTATACTTGATGTTTTAATAATTGTTTGTTCCGTAATTGAATCCCAACACTGTACATTAGAGTTTCGAAGAGGTACAATGACGAAAAGAGATTTCCTTCGAACCATCAGTTTGCAATGGTTTCTCCGATGGGAAAATTGAAAGCACCCGGAAAAGAATAGATTGGCTGTGTCATCAATGGTGGTATACGTTGTTGGCAACCAATAAAAAATTGAGTATTGGAGTTGGAGTCGACAATATTCACTTTGGATTGCTGTTTCTAGAATTTTTTAAAAATAAAAAATTACTGTAATAATTTGATATATGTGAAATAAAAAGATGATTGAAAAATATATTCAAAAAAAGCATAAATTTTTTTTTAAAAGAAAAATGGCTTTTGCCTTTGTTTGGATATGCCCTTTTATTCCAAAAAAAATTTATATTTTTCATATTTTTCGTAAATATATTTTTCAATCACTTTTTTAATTCACGTATGTGAAATCGTAACAGTACTTTTTTCACAAAAAGATTTGGGCAAATAACTCAGACGGCTGGAAAGGGGAACATAGAATAATATCAGAGTAATAAGTGGCTCGCAGGTGCGCGGTAATGGACATCACCAATTAACATCTCAGGGTAACAAATAATTAACGTTATTCACCATTGTTGTTAGTCCCAGAAAAAAAAAGAAAGATCAAAAAAGTCAATTGACCCTTACGCTTGTACAATCGAAATCAATCCAAAAGATGTATAATTAAAATGGAAACAAGTGGAAGCACCGCATGCTCATTCATTTCGCTCTATCAGCATAAGAAAATTGAAAAGTCAGTAAATAGCTTGGTCAGGGGAATAATCGAATGAGAGAAGTGGTCACACCTTTTTCCGGAAGACCAAACCCTTCAATTTGGACAAGTGAGAGCGATTGTGCTTGCAATCACGATCACGATCACGATCGTCAGTGGTGTTCTTATTCAGCTGCTGCTGCTGCTGAGCAAGTAATTCTTTCAAGCGTTTGTTTTCATTCTGGAGCTGATTGATGTAAGGGCCGAGTCTTTTGATGGATTCTGTTTTCTCGTTATTTCTCCTTATCAGCTCAGCCTGCTGGCTCAAGTTATCATCCATCAACTCCGACACCGACTGCCTCATTTTATTCCACATATCCTCCCTCTCAGCCTCATACTCATACTTGGAGCCGATCCTAATGGTGCTGCTATCCCCATCCCTATCCCTTCTGGAATCATCAAAGCCCCCATTAATCTTGCAAACCTTGCGATTTCCTCCTCCATCTCCTTTATCCCTCCTCCTGATCAACTCCTCATCACATGCATCCCCAGGCATCATCAAGCTGTGGGCTGAGTTACTCAGGGTCCGTGCCTCCAGCAAATCAGAAGAAGTTGTACTAGTGCGAACGCGATCCTCATCTTGACCAGAAGTATTTTTTGGATTGGTGATTATTCCTTTGTTTACAGCTTCAGCTTCGTGAAGATGTAGTGCTAGCACGGCTGAGGACGGGAGCGATGATTGTAGCCTGAAGGAATTGGAAGAAGCGCAAAGGGATTCAGATCTCAGGATGTCATATTTATTGGCTAAAGAAATGTAGGATTTCCGGAGGTCTTCCACCACTCGGATGAGTTCCGGTCTCTTCTTGTAGTACATTTCAGCCCTTTGAGCAAACGTATCTCCGTCGTCTTCTACGAGCTCCAAAATCTTCTGTATCTTCCTCTCCAATTCTGCACGTCAAGATTCGAACAAATGTTCAAAGGAAACAAAAAAGGGGGGTACGTAAATACGTTGTGCGGCTTCATCAAGCAATAGCCGCCAAAACTTGTAAAGCTTCCACGTACATATTGTACAAAAGTACTATTACTAACAAGTTTCTCACAAACCCCCGAATATATATATATGCACCTTCGAACCAAAGCCGTCACCTCACCATTGGCTAGCAACTGCAACATCGATCATGCTGCCATGAAGAATTCGTCACTTTCGCCCGTACTACTTGCCACTCATTACCGGCCGTGAGAATCAGATTAGATTATATCTTGCCACCAAATATGTTCTTGCTAGAGATGCTGCTACAAGCGATTTTACCCTCATCACCATCTCTCTCTCTCTCTCTCTCTCTCTCTCTCTCTCTTTTTTGTATTTTTATAAAGTATTCGACCCCCCGCTCATCTATTCTTCTTCTTCTTCTTTGGTAACAGGGCAGTCAGTTAAGGGGATTCGGAACTCCAACAACCGATCAGAAACCATGTTGCTAATGTGCCTAATATGATCAGACTCTATTCCCCGGCCTCAATAATGGAAACAGTTCAAGGGCTGAGTAAATCCGCTATAAAATATATTGAAACCCCTTTGCTTATTTGCATCACCAATTTTGCCAAGTATATATACAAGTAATAAACATGAGGCCAAAAAGAAAATTTAAAACAAAAAAATTGTACAACTAGGTACCTGCTAAAGTGGACTGCAGCCATTGAGACTGATGGTGATGAGAGCGATTACGATAGCTGCTGCCGTTCTTCTCCAACCACCGTGAGTCGTCGGAAGCAGCCTGATCGCTGCCCTCCTTCTCCATCTTCTCTCAACTCTAAAATTTATATTTTCTTTTTTTTAATAATTAAAAAAAAAAGAGTCTCCTCCGAAAAGACTTAAAACACTATATATGGTACGGCCTTCAACTCCTAACAAAAGTAATATTCTTCTTCTTTTGGATTTCTGTATGGTATTTATTATTGAGATTCCTTGCTGTGAGCTTTTTTTTCCTTCTTCTTCTTTTGTATTTTAGTTTCTCAAGTCTTATGCTGGCAACTTACTCCCTTTGGTTGCGCAAATTCTTAATTCAAGGCAAGATATTAGGCTTACGCATTTAATCAATTAAGATACCAGAACAAACAGATTTATCTACACTAACGGAGACAGATTGAAATTCCCTATTCTTTCTTCCTATCAATCCCGCCAATTACCTAACTTGCTGACAAATTGAAAAATGTAGATCAATCATAGTCAAATCCCAATCTTGATCCTCTCCAATTTAGAATGATTCAGTTGGTAGAATTAGTCCGAGGAGAACAACTTGGAACGTTAGTATCAATACACTAATAAATGCATACAAAAATTTTTTTTCCACCGATTGATCCTGGATTCTGGCATCCGTTATTGCCTCAACACACCAAACGGATGATTCAAGTATCATTTACAGCGTCCATTATGCCAATTCCATCGGGGAGGATGCGGAAACTGCACTTTTGTAAGCGCTATACGGACAAACGTAGACTGCAAAGGAAATGTTACACAAATTGCAGTTTTTCTCGGTCTCATTTCAATTTTGACGACAACTAAACTTAGTAGTTTATATCATGGTTAGAAAAAAAAAATACAGGACGGGTATAATATCAAATATAATACATACTTCTGTTATATGTAATTTTTTTCACCACTGTTATTTGGATTTTTTTTTTCCAAGACTGCGAGTCAATATACGAGTTCGATAAAATTATGTATATATCAATTCGCACATGCATAGTATGAATAAATTAAAAAATTTGTAAAATTAAAAATAGGGATAAAATTACTTTAATTTTTAAAAATAATGCTATGTTAATACCATCGTTAACTCTTATTCTTGTGTGTCAGACATTAAATTTTTTTAAAATTTTTATCACCTTGCTATGTTATATATATATATATATATTCTTCATACAATTCAAAATATATTAATGCAATTCTTTATACAATTGGAAAGATATGTCCCTTGTGTTACATAAATTTTAATTTTTTTAAAAAATTGAAGAATAATACGTATAAAGTTTATTACGTATTTTATAAGGTGATGTAAAAGGAATGAATATTTTTAAAATATACAAAATATGAATACTTTTTAGTATTTTACGTACAACCGTGTATCATACAACTATAATACGACCACTTACTAAGCATCATTATTTGGAAGTCCAAAAAACCTAGATTTATTCATCAATTTTCTTTAGAATCAATTAAAAGGCCACTGTGATCCTTAGCTTGCGGAACTTATTCACTTACACAGCAATGTGATTTTTAGTACCAGCTCGAAAGTTCAGGCCAAAATGACTTCTTTTTTTTTTTTTTTTTTTTGGTCTCCAGATCATTTAGTCCAAAAGTAGAATCGAAATAGTGGAGAAATAATGGGGGTTTAGAGACCTCAACGACTCAATTTTGGATCTATGGAAATCCAGTTTGGATGCAAATTGCCATTGGAGCAACTTTTGTCAACAACGATCAAAGAACTTCCTCCATTGTTGTTTTAAAGAAAACGTTTGGATGGGTTCAACTCTAATTATCGACATGAGTCAAGGTATGTTGTTGAGATCATAAGTCGCTTCTGAAGGTTGTAACCTGCCGACCGTGGATGAAACCCTGCTGCTTTCAGCTTCAGTGCGTGCAGCTTGTCCCATCTTTAGAAACACTACGTGCGGTACAATTGCCATCGTAACCAAAGCCTCCCAAGGCAGTCATAAAACTCTAATTAGACATCAGATTCTTCCCTCACTAAGAAGGGCACTTTAGCAGGGAACCTCTTCAATGCCAGAGCACCCCTTGACAGCACTAAAATTTTAAACGCCCCCGCATCCCCGTTTCTCCATAACTTGGATGCAGTTTTTGCTTCTCACAATTACAGCACCAAAAAAAACACAACAAAAACAAGAAACAACAGGCGTATGCCGGCCAAAAGAAGAATGTTCACTTTGTCCAAATCAATAACTATATCGAATTATTAACTAAGCTAACCAGCTCACGAAATTAACTCTTTAAACATGGGCAAACTCTCATTAAAATGTTAGCATATGGTTCCTTTTCTTTGGATTCACCAGGAAGACCAGTAATTAAATCCTTCCAACGAATTTGCCAATTCTTTTGGTTGGATCCCTTATTTAAGATCACCGGGTATATCAATTAGTCAGTTTCATAAAGATTTTATGCATCTGCATTGTATGATTCTCCATGTTATATCAACAGCAGTTTCCCAACCCCATTTCCACTTTTAATTAGATTTTCCATATTTTTAGGAAGGTGCTTTGAGGAATTTTTTGGGCAGGCAGCCAGGTAAAACCAACCATCAATCTTGGGTCATTTCCATTGCTCAATAGACAGCCAGGTCGAGCAACAGCTCTCTCAAGGTCATCATCCATAATGCAGTTGCTGTTCCTGTGTTCCACAGGTCATTTGGCATCCAGACGTTAGAACCGATTGATGGTCATCATAACTTCAATCAGACGCTATAAGTTACGGTCAGTTGTTACCAGAGGGAAGGATTGTGATGTGGATGATTTATGGTTTAATAGCAAAATCCTTCTCATTTGCTCTGCGGTAAAGTAAAGCTGATGCTTCAACCCTGAAATATGATATTATTTAATCTCCATGTAACTATTACTACTGAAAAAACGGAAGTACCTATGAAATTGGCCAGAAGATTCTCACCAGCCAGGATGCACGACAAATCTCCCAGACGAAAGCGCCCAATTTACCTGTTACAACAAGTTTCTGATTTAGATTTCATAATTATCCATGGACAGCACCTCCCACACATTAAAATAGCACAAATCCTAAAGAAACATCCGATATAGTCCTAGAAAGATAGGACCTTCCTAACTCGAATCGCGTACGAAACTACCTTGCAGGTTCACAAAAATTGAGGCAAGGTTGATCCAAACTTGAACTATTTTCACTACATGCTATCTTGTTTCGGTTGGGGTTTAGCTTGCCTCTTTAAGGATGAGAATTAGGTGTTAGTAAAAGATTAATCTACTTGACTTGAACTCGCAGAGCTTGGTTCAGATAAAAAACCAAGAACAAGCCTAAAAACAATCCTCAAATCCTTTAGAAAACCAAATATGTGATGTCCGGACCCATACAATCTTCTCTCCAAAGGATTTTATGCATTTAGTTCCCAGAAGAAGAGGTTTACCTTATCCGTTCCAAGTGAGTTGGCAACAACATGGGTGACCTGTTCATCTATGGAGTTGGTGCACACAGCCCCAAACTGTTCAGCTGTCTGCCAAAGAGGATGTAAGTGTGGATTGGCTTCACCAACTGGAAATACCCTACTAAATACAATCCGACAACCAGCCAAAATCTTCTTCTGCTCTGAGGCTAAGATGTTTCTAACATCAGCTTCATCCAAGGACTGATGTGCAAAAAATATTTCATGTATTCTCTCAATAACCTAACAAATTCACAATATTAAAAAGCAATTAGGAAATGGAAAGGTAATAATCCACATAATCTAAACCACACAAAATCACATCTTACTGCCAAAGAAGATGCCAGCGTCCCATCTTCTGATCTCTCATCGTGATCGATCTCAAGAAGAGAAGGACCAGGAAGCCCAAATTGGCGCCGACTACATGGAAAGAAAATATACCTGCAAAAAACAAGGATATCAGACAGGACACTTATTAAATAATATACTTTATACATAAGAACAAAAACGTTTTCATCTACCTTTCAACAACTATCAAGTTTAACTTATTATGCGGCCAGACTCGCAAAGAATCATCTATAATGACAACAGCTGACTCCATACCCATAACCCCTTCCAAATCCTTGCTCTTAGGAACCCTTTCATCACCATCCAAAAGATCCCCATCATCCCCTCTGGAAATGACTCGGCCAGCAAACAACTCCCCTTTTGGATCAAGCAATTTTGCCATCTCTGTGGCATACAGCTTGTTTCCCATCGTGTAGAGATGTAGCTCGTACAGCTTACTAGCCTAAGAGACAAGCAGAAAGATTAACATCCCACAAATCACATCCTATACCAGATATATTGTTAGCCTCTGTTACCTTTTCCAAAAAATTCCAGATCCCAGGCCGCAATTTAGTCCACATTCCCATGTGAGGAAACCGGAATAAATGCCTGTGTGGTTTTTCACGGTCTTGCTCCTCCTTTTTCCTCAATATCTCATCATGCATTGGATCCACTTCAACAAACTGAATGCAAAAGTTAACTCAATAATGTGCTTCTAGCATAAGGACAAAAAATTCAACTTAAAAGCCAAAAGTTTTCATGCCTTCGCTGAATTTAGGAGAGTATGATCCAGATCCAAGACCAGGCAGAGTTTCCGCCCAGCAAACATTTTCCTCTGCTCTTGCATTCTTCTAGCTCTCTCTCTATGGATGGCAGCTTTTTGCTGGTCATCGAATCCCTCAAAGAGATGCTCAACATCATCCCAGTTGTTCTGTGGTCGAGAGGAACCCATAGAAACTTCTTTGGATGACAAGCCAGGCCCACTTTGTGGTTTGCCTGACTCCAGCATTCCAATCGTCTCTGTCCTACCTTGATAAGCTTGAGAAGGTTGTGACAAAGATATTTGAGGAAGGGCAGGTTGAGATGAAGTTGCTTGAGAAACAGAAACAATATCAGCAATATTTTTCAAATTTTTAGTGAACTGCTGAGCAATATCTGGTTGAACAATGGAATTAGAAGGCACAACCCTTCTGTCAAGCTGATCATCTTGTATCTGGAAATTCATGTTACCAACCATCTCTAGATTGCTTGATGTACTGCTTTTGCTTTGAGATTGATCAAATTCCATGCTCCCGCCTTTTTGAAGCGTGTTATTGTGAAGAACACGACGGGGATCACGAGGTTTCATGCGAACTTTACCTGGTTCTGCCTGCAAGTTCATAAGGCATTAACTATTCTGAAAAGATCACAAGGCAGTGAGAAACAGGAAGTAAACAAGCTGATTATTAGGAGTATTTTCACAAATGTTTTCACATGAAAATTTTCAATTTTCTCAACAAAAATAAAACCTAAAAATAGTTTATATATCGTAGAATCAACTGTAAGATTCTATGTGACCAGTCATTTTTCAAATGAAATTACAAGAATCCTCAACATCGTTGAAGACTTCAAAAGGAAAATTTCACCCAACTCACCCATGCCAATCAAACCATTCAGAAAAGCAGACCAGTCTCAAGGATATCAATTGAGTACAGGAAAGGAAAATACTGACAACAGATTAAAAATTTCCCACTATCAATAAAATGACAAGCTTACCACTGAAGCTGTTTGTGAAGTCACCTGGAGTGTCCCTGCTGCTTGTTGGCCAAGGTCCCGGGGTTTAGAAACAACTGCATTCACTGACCCATTAATGGAATTTGAGCATGTAGGCTGACTTGTACTTCTAGTAGGATCAGCAGATTTTTGTTGTTCCATCTTAATTATGTTCATCCATATAGATGGGTTTACAGCAATATCTTTCAAAAGAGAATGCAATGAAGCTGTTGCACCAGGATTAGTCAGCGGCAGATTCTTGTTTCCATTGACTGTTACATTGGCCAAACTGCTTCCAGAACTGAGTGGAGTTACAGCATATTCAGGCCTCATAGGATCATTTCCGCTGCTATTCAGTGCATGGCTTCTATTTGTTGCCCCTAAAACAGCTGTACCTCTATCCTCCAACCAACCACCAGTTCCACTCACCGTCTGCACACTTTTCACAACTGAGGAATCAGTTTGCTCATTTCTTTGCCTTTTTAAAGCAGGACCATCCATAACCTGTTCTTCAATTGTCTTCTGCTTTCTTGAACTTATCATGCCCCCAACAGGCTCCACCTTAGGTTCACTATTGACTACAGGCAAAAGCCGATCCAAAGAAGCCACATCAGAATTAGCCAGTCGAAGCCTAGGATCTCTACTTTTTGCAGATGAGGTTTTCATTGAAGAACTTGGTCCTGAACTCAAGGAGGGAGCATTCAACAAATTTGCAAGTCCTTGTCCCGTAAGAATGCCAATCTTGGGAGCATCAGAAGCAGTGAGCTGCCCCACCATTGATGTGTCCACAGGCTTCACATCCATGCTAGAAGAGCTAGAGACCTCCCCACTAATGTCACCATCCCCACCATCACCATCTTCAGAAGGGGTTGGGCTTGGAAGCCTGTCATTCATAAGAAACGAACTTCCGCCAAACTTCTGCTGATAGGAAGAAACAGCCTTAACAGCATCAGTTTCATAAGGATGCATTGGGACATTCTCTCTCTCAAGAGCTACTCTAGGAACAGGCCACTCCGGTTTCAACAACCCATGTCCCACTGAAAACCCCTTTACGATGGGCAAACAAGACGGTGCTCCTTGAGTTGGTGAAGGAAGACTATCAGCATCATGGTCCTTGTGAAGGTCCAGCAAAGGAAGAGACAAACCTTTATACTTAGAATTAGCTACTCCCAATTTTCCATATTCTAGCAATGCTGGTGGCACAGGCTGATCAGATGACTCAACAGAAATGGAATCTACATTAAACACTTTTTCCGGCACTCTTTTCATATTTTCCGCAGAACTATCCAGATCATTCTTGGAAACCACACTTAATTCTCGCATTTCATTATTCCTATTAGCATCCATAGAACTCAAAGTTTCCGATGAAGAATCCAGAAGAGAAGTCATAGCTTCTATCTGCAACAACAGACAGCATTATAAGTTACCATAACTATGAAACACCACCACCACCACCACCATCCCCCACCCCCCCCCAAAAAAAACAATCAGACATTAGTAGCTAAAACCACCTCTTTCAACTGCTCAGCTGAGAACAGATACTTTTGGCTTGACACATGAGCTAACAACCTGTCAACAGATGCGGAAAATTATTCAGCACAACTAATCCCCTTTCCAGACAACAACTGGGAAAAAAAGGAAAGGAAGACAACAAGTAGATGCAAGTACCACCTTGACATAATGTCCTTGCTGGATTCCTTCTTATTAAGATCCATGGAGCAGAAGACCTGACAACTAAAAGGTTCAGCCACTAGAACACAAAAGGAACCAGAAACTGTGCTTGGAGCTAAATGATGGTTCCTCTAACAGATAATTCACATAGACATTGATAGTGAAGAAAGCAATCCTAAGGAATCATTTGAAATCTTACAGCATTCAGAGTCTTAATAGCAGTAATCACGAGTTGCACAAGAACATCTTTTGTAGTCAAGATGTTGTTCTCAGCTATTTCCTGCATACTGTCCAATAGGTTTTGCACTCTGGATGATACTTCACCAAATGATCTAGAATAAAAATCGAAAAAGGAAAAAAGAAAAGAATTTTTTTTTTTCAAACACATTAACCTTGGCTGAATCACAAATTGATGGAAATCAACTTAGCTCCAAATTTGTCAATAAACTTACTTTTCAGCCTCGTTCGCAGTCACACTCTCAAACCCTTTTCTAAGCAAATCAACCTGCTTCTCCAAGACAGCCTCTTTATCCTTGACAGCCCCGGATAGATTCTCCTTGCTCACATCCCCATCAGTTTCACCCATCTCAGAATCCATATCAATTTCCCCTTCTTCCAACTCCCCCTCCTCCTTCTCGTCCACTTGAATGACATGCTTCTCACTCGGGGAAGCAGCAGAAACCCCGTCCTTGCTGTCATCAATACTGCTAGAATTCTTGTTAGCGACGTGGTGGTGGTAGTCGTGGTGGTTGCGGTTGTTGCTGCTGCTGCTGCTATTATCCGACCCATCCCGCTTCAAATTAGAATTGCTGGCATTGTTATCAGAAGAAGCTTTGGGGAACTCCATGACTAAAATCTCGTCCAAAGGCTTGTTCTGGACGGCGGAAGCCCAAGCCAGATTGTACAGGCCAGCCGAATAATTCCTGGAAAGCTGATACTTATATAGATCCCTCATCGTCCAAACCCTAGGCTTTTGATTTTGATTAGCGTTATGATTATTGATACTGTTATGGTAATTATTGGAGGAATTATTACTATTGGCTGGATTGACATTTACATCCTTGGGAGGGGGAGGCGGAGGAGGAGCGGCGGAGGAGTCCGAATCGGGGACAGCGGCGGCGGCAGGGAAGCGGTCTTTCTTGCTGAAAGCCTCAGCGCTAATTTCCTCAACAGAAGAAGCAGAATCGGAGATCTCACCTTCTTCGACGTCGAGGTCGTAAACTGTGGGAGACAGTTGGGATTCACATTCTTCCATCTCAACTACGGAGGAGCAGCCTAAGGGGGTTTTTTTACTTTGACTCAAATCCGATACAACAACTAGCATAGGGAGGTGGCCGGTTAGGAAACTAATTTATGACTCAATCAGTACAATATGTATACCATATAAACGTAAGAAAACAAGAACAGATCCTTGATCGTGTAAACAATTTCACAGCCCAGGAAAATCAGGTAATTAGATAAAAGCGAGAAGTTCCCCCACCTCCCCCCCAACTCCCATCTCCTTAAATTAGGGCTCGGGGAAGGAAAAAACAAAAACAGAGATTTACTAGCGATCAATTAATTTTTCTCCCAGATCCGATGAGAATTTATTTTGAAATTCTTCGAATCTGATTTGATCCGTAAATGTTGAATATACACATACACTCGGATTTAAGTTGCTGAAAATTGAATCAGCAAAGAAGTCTAATTTGGGGAAAGACCGAACCCCAGCCCAAAACTTAAGAAAAGGATGTGCTGAATATGGTTACGATGGGGACCCGGAGCGTCCAGAAAATAAATAAATGAAAAAAAAAAGGGTGACAACGGAAGGCAGGGAATGGAGAACTGAATCTGAACCGTACACATCATCAATCCGAATCAGCTATAGATTGGTAACAACAGGTGCACCCAATTAGTCAACCACATAGGATTTACAGCTGTGGACCGTTTGGAGTTTGGGTCCAAACTCGTCGAAGCTTAAAATCCATTTTGGATTTGGATTCCGGTCCTTCAGCGCTGGATGGACATGTTTTGATCTATACCATAACCACATACTCCTAGTACTCGTGCTGATGTCGCTTTTTGTTTGTTGGTACTTCAGAATTTTCATTGTTAACTGGTTTGTTCTATTTCTAACATCCCTAAAGTATAATAAACTAGAGGTACCTTGGCTGTGCGAGGCACAGCTTGGGTCTCTAATAACTTAATTAAACACATAGCAATATATCTTTTTAGTATATAATAAATATAAATACAGGAAAAAAATTAAGCATCAAAACAATTAAAATTTGTTATGAAGAGATATTCCATCTATAAAATTAGCCACTTGCCCTTTCCCACATTTTATAAGGAATGAAATTAACCTCCTAATTATTGTCATTTGGATAAAGAATTTTGAATCTTATTATGTGACACGATGATACCACAAAGGGAGAGAAAATAAATGCATTACCAATTCAATAGCAACATAGCTTTAATTGTAATTAAACCAAAAGTAGTCAATTGAGTTTGCAATTTCTTTTAAGCGAATGTGAAGAACCATATTACGATTATGGGAAATAGGTAAAAAAAAAGATCTACCAAATCCATCACTAGTCTTGAGGTTAATGAACGAGGGCAATAAAGTAAGTACACAATTAGGTACAATTGGGAAGAAAGAAAGTTGATTTTCTATGCAACTTTGAAAAATGATTTATAATTGTGTAACAGGAAAAGAGACTTTAATCGATCATATAAATGAATTGTTTAAATGTAAGAGTTGGATGAGTTACTGATTAAATATAATTAATCAATGTACAAGAACTAAAATTTTTTCATTAATTTGTAAAATTTGATCATATAGTCATAAATTAGGCAACACATAAAAGGAGTAGAAGTTCATATGGTTAAACAAAATAACATGCAGTGAAAATCTTCTATTGTAACCCATATTGTAGATTTTCTATCTTGATCCATCAAGGTAGAAGTGAGAAAATAAAAAATGGAAACAAAAACACAAATTTTTCAAATGAGATCTATGCCACGTGTTAAGAAATTAGGGTGTTATAGTAAGTCCTCATGTCTTCTTATATAATAGGTAGAAAACCCATTATGCTTAGAAAGAACAACGTAAAGACTTGTTTGGTTTGACATGAACCAAGGGACAAAAAAATATATATACAAGTGATAAAAAATATTAGAGTCATGCCACTTGTCAAAAGTCATGTGGCAAGAAAGGAGGCAAATAACTGAACCTCTTTTCTTCTTATCTACCTATTATACAAGAAAGAAATGAGATTACTGTAGCAGTCTCTATAGCTACCAAGTGGCTCCCATCTACTTTGACATGTGGTTCATTAATCATTTGAGAAAGCTATCTTTATTATTTTCCCTTTTTCTTTTGGCTTTCTTTTTTCCCCTCATTTCCCCTTTTCTTTCTAGCAAAAGACAACCACAAGAACCCTCATCCTCATCTAAACTATCACTTGCATGTTCAATTTTCACTCTATACTTTTTTCATTTTTTTCCTTCACCTTAATCATTTACTCTTGCTTTTTTTCTATTGAATTAGTTGATGCATTTTTTTTCAATTTTTCCATAATTAACTAAATGAATGATTTATGTTGTTAGAGTGGATGAGGGAAGATAGCAATTTTTGTTGAGGGAAGATAACGGGTCCGTTTGGATTCCTTGTTATTGCCTCTGTTTTTTAAAAACTGTTTTTCACATTCCAAATGCTACAGTAAATGTGTATTTCAAAAACAATTCCAAAAACATCCATATCCAAACATTATATCAAAATCAACTCCAAATATACATAATATGTATATTTCAATTTGTATATTTCAATTATGCATATTATATATATATATATATATTATATTATATTAATATAAATTGAAATATACAAATTGAAATATATAAAGTGAAAATTATATATTTATATATTATATAAATATTTATATACACTAATATTATACATAATATTGTATATTATACATAATATAATACAATATACATAATATAATATACATAATATGTAATATTGTATACATAAATGTATAAATATTTATACATAATATATTATGTACATTATATTATAATATAGTACATTATTAATGTACTTTCATTATTATGTACATTATTGTGTATAATAATGTTATGTATAATATATAATATACATAATATGTAATAAGGTATAAATGTATATTATGTATAATATATTACATTATGTATATTGTATTATATATATACAATATTATGTATATTATACAAATTGAAAATTTTATATTATATATTTATATATTATATATTATATAAATATTTATATAATGAAATATACAACAAATATTACAAATTGAAATATTATATAAACACCATATTAATAATATTATAATATTTATAATTAATATTAATGTATATTATATATATTAAATATTTATTTATTATATATTGATATATTTATTTATTCATATTACAAATATTTTATTTTATTTAAAATATATTTTTATATATTTATAATATATTTATATAAATATTATATATTATATATTATATATATTATACATTTATACATAATATATATATTTATGTATATTTATAATATACATTTATATTATGTATTATATATAATATAATAATACATTTATACATTTATATTAATATACATAATATTAATTTTACATTTATACATAATATTAATATATATTTATAATCTATTAATTTATACATTTATATAATATTCATTTATAATTTATACATTTATAATAATATACACTTATACATTTCTAAATATATTTATAGTAAGTATTATATATAATATAATACATTTATATATTTTTATATAAATATGTAAATATAATTATTTATAAATATTTATCAATGTATTATAAATGCATAAATATATATTTATATAAAAATATAAAAATTATTTATTATAATTTATAATTTATACATTTATATAATATTCATTTATAATTTATACATTTATAGTAATATACATTTATACATTTATAAATATATTTATATTATGTATTATATATAATATAATACTTTTATAAAATACTTTTATATTTTTATATAAATGTATATGTATATTTATTTATAAATATTTATAAATGTATTATAAATGCATAAATGTATATAAATATAAAATTATAAAAATTATAAATTATAAAAATACTCAAAAATATGTTTTAAAAATACCTCTAAAAATAATCGAAAAAACATCTACAGTAAAAGTTTTTCATATAGTTTTTGAAAAACAACCCCAAAAACAACTAATCCAAACGGACTTGTATTTCAAAAATGAAATGCTACAGTATTGTTTTTGAAAAACAACCCCTAAAACAGCTAATCCAAACGGAGCCAACAATTTTTCCTCAACTGATATTCATTCAAATTTTAGTTTTAATTTATTAAAATTGTTATTTGATAATAGACTGATAGTGCTAGGATGGAGGTGGAGGAATTTGACAAGTAAAGATCCAAGGTGAATGATGACTATGAAGGAAGTAGAGAGATCCGTTAAATTTAAAATTAATCAAAATCTCTTAATTTATAGATAGACAATTATATTTCCATATTTTGATTTATTTAAAGTTTCTTAATAGCGAAAAATGGTTATTTACTATATGAGAAGGATGATATGTAAAGGAATTGTTGGGGCTAGCAATTTAGGATATGACTAAAATATTTCATATAATCTCTTCATTTTTTGTTACTGACTTGTATCCATGATAGGTGGTTTATTTTCATGGTATGATAATTTGAGAAGAAAATAAGTGTAAATTTAGATTTTAAAATCATTTGCTTAAGTTGGTTCTATGAATTTGTATTTTTATCATTTTTATTGTCCCTAATGATAATATAAACTAGATGTGTAACTGGATATATCATGACTATTTGGTTGAAGGAGTTGATAAATTTTTATAAACTCAAGTAGCTATTTTGATTGCTATTGTTAAGGAATTGTAATTGGTGGTGGAAGTAAAAAATGAGACTTTTAGCCTAGAGTGTGAATCGACAAAAAAATTGTTAAAAGATTAATCTTGATTAAGAAGACATTTTTGCGATCAAACAAATGGTTGGTTTCGAATTTGTACATGTACATTTGCAAACATGGCAGTTCATTTTTTTATCTAATGTCGCTATTTGTATTCTCAAGTTGTTTGGCAGATAATGTTATCACATGTTTGTAATGCTATTAAAAATGATTTAAATTGATGGATTAACAACTCGTTTTTTCTCTAAAAAAGACAAAAAAAAAACAATGTGTAAGTTTGTATGTTTTGAAAAGGATAGAAAAATGTGCAAATTTGTATGTTTTATTGATGTTGAAAATTGCGATGGATCTTGACAACTTTCTACACTTTTTCTAATTATTAAACTGCTAGAAGTATTATGACTACTTTTGGTTTAGTCACAATTAAAACTATGCTGCTATTAAATTAATGCAGTGTACTTATTATTTCTCCTTTTTTTGGTATTATTATGCACACATAGTATTGGTTAAAAAATCTTTGTCCAAATCACGATAAATAGGGGACTAACTTCATAAATGGAATTTCTCTTCATAGCAAATTTTAATTGTTTTGATGGTCAAATTTTCTCCTATATTTACCAAAAGATTTATTGTTCTATGTTTAACTAAACTTCCCCAAGATACCTCTAGTCTACCTATTATATAAGAAGAAAGTGGAGTTACTATAGCAACTCCAATGATTGCCAAGTGGATCCCTCTCATTTTGACACGTGGCCCATTCCTTTTCTTTTCTTC